ATCAGTAAAACTAGGCTAATGTTTTCTTCTTCATCACATCATCAATGCTTCTGAAGATCAAGTAAATATTACATATTAGAGTCCTTTGAGAATTGCCTAAATAGTATGATAATTGAAAAAATTCATTAATTTTTCTTTCAACAAAAAGAAGCATTTCCATCTCTTTTTCTTTATTTTAAACATAACTAACAATTACATACCAACTGAGTGGCTAATTATGTGATACATATAGTATTTTACATAAATTATTAACCAATTTATTTAATGCTCTTAGATTTTTCTCTTGTTTATTACTGTTCAATTATTTGATTCCCCAACTGTCTGAAACAACTAATGCTATCAAGGTTTGAATTTGGGTAATGTCAGCTAGGTACAATATTACAGAATTTTAAGTTAAATGGAAATTCTATTTTCTACAATCTTTCCCATTCTCAGCAGTAATAATCAAATTGGAGAGGACTGCTTCTCATTTTTCATATCTTCTTTAGAAAAATAGCAAAAAATAATGGGTATTGATCAAGTATGATAGATAGTCATTTCTGAGTAGGACATCCTGTATTTAAATTGGTCATTTAGAACTTTTATTTTTTTTCCTTTTGACTTTTTCTTTTTCTTAATTCATGCTTGTCACTTTCTTTGAGAATTATCTCAGATCTAATGCCTTACAAGGGCTTTTTTATGATTTGTTCTACTCCATTCTAAACACCCTTCATTGTGTGTAGAAGATTTTGGCTCTGTTATTCAGCCCTTTGCAGAATCACAGTTACACACTTAACAGAATTTGTGAGTCAGAAAGGTCTCTGCAATAATGCAACTTGAGGCCCGTATTTCCTGATGAAGAGAATGAAAGGAATGAGGACCTGTCCAGATCACACAGCTGGTCAGTATCTGAGCCAGAATTATGACCTAGGGCAGTTTTTATTACCTTCTGTTTTGGAGTCACTTGATTGTTTCATATGTGTGAGTGCATGGTCTCCCTAGCTGGTAGGTTTGCTGACAGGAACTAGCCTTTATCCTAATCTAAAGATCTGTCTTTGCTTCCCTGTCCAGAGTAAGCACACTAGAGTGCTGAGGAGCTAGTCTTTTGGGGGCAGAAACCATAGTGTATGATTATCCTTAGATCTAGTGCTATTTTTAAAGTACCTTCAATTTTCACTGTCTAAAACATATTTCTGTTATCCCATGTATTAGAAGAACTTATTAGTACTATAAATAAATGAAGTTTAATATTCTCATTGTTGTTCTGACATGGAGACAGAATTAAATACCCTGGTATTAATTAGATGATTGGATAAATTTTCACTTTCTCATTACTTGGAATCCTGTGACAAGGAGATGAGTAGCAAGGTATGTATAGTTTATGAAATAGTTTTGAGCTTATATATAACAGTTTCCATCAGACCTGATCACATATCTCAATGACATCACCCTTCTACCCTACAGTGTCACCTTAATTGACATTTCTGAGTTTGGGTCTTGTACTGTACATATAAAGAGCTCTACATGTAGCTCTGACCCAGAGCCAAAGCAGAAAACTTTGGCTTGGAAGAATAGCATTGTTGATATGGTCTTGTAGATGTCATACATCACTGAAACTACCTGGTCACCTGTGGGCTATGTCTTTGAGGCCTACATAGTAGTTGAAATGCAACTACATATCTCCACATATCCAGAATGGAATTAATTGAACCAAAACTGAGTCCTCTGCTTCACAATTCAGAAGTGACACAGGAAACTTGTGCTGAAAACAGAAACCTATTGTTAAAAACTAGTATTATCCTAAAAAGTAGTGGATTACCCAAATAGTTGAAATTTGTAATCAGGTTGGCTCTATATTTGGATATCATGGTGGTCATCTCATAATTTTCTATCAAGTAAATCCTGGTTTGTCCTCAGTGCATTTCTTTAATCATCTGTTAAATGCACACCATTTATAAGACTGCCATCTGGGTAGTCCATTAAACTGATATATTAAAAGAATATTAGATGGTAAAAAGAAATTAACAAAATATTATTGCAAAAATTTGAATGTCATAGAGCACTCAAGTGGTTGCAGAAAGTTAGTTTACACAAATAGAGAATTCACAAAAGTCAACTTAAAATTTTTACTTGGAATCTTTTCTGAGCCTTGCTTTAAACTGGGTGGTATGGATCATAGCAAAAGCCAGTGACCAACTTTTGAGTGGAGACGTTTAGTTTTCAAAAGAGACAAAGTTGAGTAGACTGATGATTGTGATGTAATAGTGATTACATATAATTTCTTATTTTCTGAGTATAATGAGACAGAGAATGATAGTTTTTTTTTTTTTAATCCTTTTTGACTTCAGAAGGGCACTAGAGATCATCTGCTCCTACAGTTTCCCAGATAAGGAAACTTTAAAAAGTGTGATAAAACATCCCTTAAGAAAGACCTTTATTTTCTCTCAGTAACGGGTTGAATAGTTGTAAATCCATGTGGTACATGGACCACATGGCACTTTCATTTATTCCATGAAGAGTTGAGAGGGCTTGTGTTTAGCACTTGAATATTGGACATGATTCAAATATGAGTCAAGTGTGTCTAGAGGCTTTATTCATACCTACTGTCTTTTAGTCAGCAATGCTTCATAATGCCTTGGTTTCATGAATTAATTTTAATGGAATTAAACTTGAACAGCTCAAAATTATATAATTAATTTAATTCAGCTTCAATTAAAGTTCCTAATTGAATCAAGCCTACTAGCATGACACCTGGCGGCAGTCAGCCACATGACAGTACAGCAAGGATGTAAACTCAGCTGATGAGTTAGTTCATGTATACTAGTGAGTTTGTATAAAAATCTTATTGATAATCTCAGAAAGGCCATGAGTTGACTGTAGCAGTGGAAATATTTCTGGAGTTGTTTAAGAAAGTAAAGATTTTAGTTGAAACTATCACAACTCACAAAGATTACATTTTCCCTATGATAATGCTAAGTAAATGTTACAGAAATCTAGAACATATTGGTTTAGCATGCTTTTAATTTATACTTTAGTGCTGTTTGAATATGATTTCACTTTCTAAAACACTTAGAATTCAAGACCCTATTTTTTTTTAAGATCTTAGCCTCTGAATTTGCTCCTTAGTTCATGTTTATCTGTTTTCTTGTGTTTCATGGCAGAACTTTTTAATTTTTGTGAGATCCCATGATACATGAGAAGTTTTTGCATGTGCAGAAAATTATTTCCTTTCACTGGAAATATTAACACGGTTGACTAACCGCTTCTGTTTGAATATGCTTCCTTTCTTTGCTTGTGTAGTTTGACATCATCTTGCTTTTACTTCTCTAACTCCTTGCTAATCATAGGGATTCTTCTTGGTATTCTTTAATATAGTCACTTTTTTAGCTCATTAATTTGAAGGGCTTCAGTAATCAAGTTTATGAAGATGACCATTTCTAGCTGTATCTTTTATTCTAGATTGTAAATTCAAATGCCTAGTGCTGAACTAGTCTATAAACTCCAGGAAGGCCTGAGCTGACTCATCATTTGTTGTATCACCATTGTCATGTACAATGTCTAAACATCCATTATGTACATCTGTGTGTGCATGAGTACTTATATACAATGAATAAAATATTCACCTGATGTCCAGTTTTTCTTAGTCAAATACACACTGAAAACTCAGTCATCTCTAACCGCATCTTCCTTAACTGTGCAAACTCTAGCTTCTTATATTTACCCCTTTTCTCTTCTTGTTATTTAGTTGATTAAACTCTTTTCAATTTCTATGTGAACTTTGCCAAGTTTCCCTTCCTCTATTCTCCCTCTTAAATGTGTCCAGCCTCTGACGGAAGTGCAGTGTAATCATCCGAGTGAAGCCCTTTCTCTGCCAAGTGAAATAGAATTGCAGGTGGTGGGGCCCAGGAATCTGCTTTTTTGAGATAGCTTTCCAAGTTCATTAAAGTTTAAAGGTAGGGTTGAGAATCACTGGTGTGCATAAGTTTATTAATCTTCCTAATAATTGCCTTTGCTTAGGCATTTTATAAAGGTTCAATGGCTACTTTGACTTAATTATCTTGGTTTTGAAATAGTACAGATTTCTCACCATGGTATTGAGATATCCACACCATGTATCTAGTCAAGCCTTTACTGTTTTATCTTGTAATGTCCCTCTGAAAGCACTTCACAGCACAGAGTCAGAACCTTGCCCAAGTGCCTGCTTTTGGAGTTGTTCCATGCTATTCTTCCATCTCTCTGCCACTTGTAAATCTTCTTTATCTTTTAGAGATCATCCAACACACACCATTTTGCGTAGTGTCTTTCTTGATCTCTGAATCCTGATGAGTTTTTCTTTTCTTTCTTGCCAAATCTCTTTGGTGATCTGGAACTTTCAGAGCATGCATTTTACCTTGTGTTATAGATTGCATTTTATTTCATTTCAGTTATGTTCCCAATTTGTACTTTCTTACATATTGGCTTTCTAACTGAGAACACATAAATAAACCCACATATAAATCTTTCATCCTAAACACCTTCCTTATCCAAGAATGCATTGCACAGTCTTTGACTTTTCCCCTAAGTTTCTACAGAGAGAACTGCTGATTTCCTACCTCCACACTACCCAGTTACTCCTCATTCCTCTGCAGTCTGGCTTTCATCTCCATGATTCATTACTGTATCTTCTCCTTTTGATGCTTTTTCTGTCACACCTATATGGACTGACTCAATTTTATCCTTGACATAACTTTTCCACAGTTCTATATTGTGGCATATCACTTGCTATGTTAAAAATTATTTGATTACCATAATCTTAACAGAGTATTTTTACTGCAGTCATTTGTTTCTTTAATACTAAGAAGATAGTAGGTGCTCAATATATAAATGTTATTAGCAATGTATACAATATTCAATAGAGGTATACTCCTCCTATTCCCTTTAATTACAACAGACTTAGAAGCATTAAGAAAAATCTATACAATAAAAATAGAGAAAAACATGTAATATTAAATGGTAATAAGTGTATGTTCTTTTTTATTCAGAAAAATGTAATAAAGACAATACTGCAAAAGATATAACTCAAGCTGCCCACAGCCACTTCACACATGAAGAGATGCAGGACCAATCCATTTGGGGAAATCCTTCAGATGGTGAACTTATCAGAAGTAAGTATTTATAGAAAATTTAAGTGACTCAGGGAAATGACTGACAATATGTTCTCAGTTAATTGTTCCATATACTTCTGCTACAAATCTGTACATCAACAAAGTTTATCTACAACTGTTTCACTGGTATTTTAAATTGCAGAGCATGATATAAATACTGCTGTCAGCTTCTACAAAAGAAGAATTAACCTGTAAATTTTGACTCTATTCTGAGAAAGATTAATCAAAACTTAGCTCTTTCTTAAGCAGCAGCTCAGTGGAAATCAGATAACTCTAAGTATGTGTGGACTGTGCCATTAAAAATAAGTCAAAGCTAAAGGATAATGAATGACTCAAGTAGTAGAGTGCCTGCCTAGCAAGCATGAGGTTCTGAGTTCAAGCCCCAGTACCACAAAAAAAAAACAAAAAAACCCCACAAAACCTAAACAACAACCACAATGACAAAAACTAAAGGACAATAAACTGGATCTTGAGAATGTTCCAGCAACCCCTGTTTTAGTACAGAGATTCAATGCATGTTTTTACAATTGATATTCTATTGCCATTTGTGCTTGTTTTAATACTTTCTGTCTTCCTAAGATTGCTTTTTAGACTGTATACAGAAGCATCCGTGTAATTTTTTGTTACTCTGGGTAGGCCTTGAAATACCAGTATTTCTTGGGTGTGGTTTAGAATGCTGGTTCTGTGTGAGGTTCTGCTGTAAACCCTCTGAATCTTATGTTCTGGTCACTCAGTTTTCCCACATGGTTCATGATGAATTTGCCATATGTTGAATTACTCCATTTAGCGAACATGTATGTGTAAAAACAAACACTGTGCCACACTTGGGAGAGCATAGGAGTAAATGTTTTGAACTTCTATTGTTTTTTAGTAGTACTGGAGTTTGAACCCAGGGTCTGTTGCCTGCTGGGCAGGTGCTCTACCACTTAAGCCAAGGCCCCAGCCCTTTTCCTTTTAGTTATTTTTCAGATAGGGTCAAATGCTTTTTCCCTGAACCAGCCTTGGATTGTGACTCTTCTGTCTCATCCTTCTGCATAGCTTCGATAACAGGTGTGCATCCATTATAGGCACCCTGCTTGTTTGAGATAGGGTCTCACTAAGTTTTGCTTGCCTGATCCCGACCTATGAGCCTCCTAACATTGCCTCCCAAGTAGCTGGGATTACAGGCATAAGCCACCATGCTTGATTGACACTTGAAACTTATTCACAGTAAATAAATTACCATGTCTCATTCCCAGTTTTCCTGAGCAGACAGAGGAGAATAAATTTCTGAGAATCAAGTGTTGTTTCATTTTATTTAAACTTAATTCATTAGTTTAGACAGCTTCATAATATAGGGCCTTTCTTGTACCAAATTTTATGTTTACTTTGAAACTTGGAACATTCTTCTCTAAAATACTTTGCCCTAACTGAAAATAAAAAAAAGAAAAAGAAAAAAAGAGAGTTGGTGGGGAAGAGACTGACTCTGCACAGAACAAAGAATAACAATGAAAACACTATTGAAGGGCATTTCCAGTTTTCAAACAAAAGCTCTAAAAATGAGTATTTTAGTTTAATTTTAGAGTCATTTGGCTTTTATATACTTTTGTATTAGAGAATGGAATAGGAAGGAAGGAAATTAAACTAAGAAATTAGTGAGGAACAAGATTTATATAGCTTTTTCTAAAGAATCAAATAAACATTATTTCAAGTAAACATTTATCCAAAAACATATATTAGTTATCTTTTTTCTAAATATTGACTCGACTGTTGTGAAATGTAAGGTTTTGTGAGGTACTGGTGCTTATTTTATCTGTGATTTCCTAGCAACCAGAGTTTATAAGCGGTAGAAGAGATCAGAGTGAAAGTATAAACTCTACCTGTTGGAAGCATGAACATTCTCTCTCTCTCTCAAACAGAAGTTTAAGTGTGTTTCCTTTAATTGATTTATTTCACTAATCTCCTTTTCCAAGGCCCACCTTAGGATAGGATAATATGAATTGTATCTCTTAGGACAAAAAACAAAATACAAACATTGTTGTGTAGGATATAGAGAGTTAAGTTAATGTGTTAAATCTGTCTGTGCTGTTTGGTGAAGCTCATTGTAGTCACAGGGTTCATACCATTAAAGAGAATGAATTTTAAATGAATTACCCTCTTGTCTATACTGCTTAAGTGAACACTGATCAAAAATATTGCAGGAAATAGTTTCTTTTTGGAGATAATGATGCATGCAGTGTTGAGGGACAGAGCAATTGGGAACACGTATTTAGTTTCCTACTAATATGCACTGAAACAATGCAGAGAGGGGGAGATATATGGGTCCCACTGAGAGAACTGCTGGGAACATTGACAGGTGAATGGATATACAAAAGATAATGGACAAAGACAGTAACGCCACTCTGGGCAAGAAACATGAGCTCTCAATCCTTTCCAAGTGTTTGTGGATGACATTTGACTCTGAATTTGGATTATAAATTTCAAAAATTCTTGTTTCTCTTATTTTTGTGGTCATACTTTTCTTTTCTAGACCAAGGCAACTGTGTTGGATCTACAGAAAAAAAAAAGTCTAGATTTGCAGAAGTGAAACATTTTGTATCATCTTTAAACCTGATTCAATTTTGGAAAGTTCATTATTATGGTAGCTTCCTCTAGTCTTACTTCCTGACTTTCCTTGTTTGGCTTTCTCCATAGAGTCTTTGGCCATATCTGCATAATTTAATATCTGCCTTTCCTAACCCTGAGGTTAGGGGAGATGTGTGTTTTGTTCTTGCTTCAGTATCTAGCACATTTCTGGGTCCCAGTAAATTTTTTGAATTAACAATAGGCCCTGGCTCAGAGCTCCATGGGACAGGAGGGAACATCTTAGTGAGTCAGGCCCAGGTTGGCTCCTGTGCCAATAGTCCTGTGTGGCTCTCACAAACTGATGTTAGTGTTCCCACTGTAGTGTGAGGTTGGCTGGATGGAGGGATCATCAGAAAAATGAGCCTGGCTGGGGTGTGGGAACATTTTTAAATGCACAACCCACTCTTCTTTCCAAGCTTTCATGGGACAGCTCAGCTGCATAAACCAGAAATGAAGGAGAGTAACTCTGTTGAATATGACTTATTTTTTTACCTGCTCTTGAGAGTGATTATGAAGGCATTGGGGAGAGGCTGGCAGCTTACATCTCTCCTGTCCTGGATGCCTACTGCCTTCTTTGTTGGTTGGACATTTAAGGCATAATTTACAGGGGACTGTTTGCTGTCACTGTGATGGGGCTGTTTTTACTTTTCTTTGCTGAGAATAACTGAGCTCTGGAAAGTCAAGGGCGTGGCTGCTTTGGAAATTGCATTTTAATTAAAGGGTGTATTCTCAGGCTTCATAAAGGAGATCCAAGCTGAGAATAATTTCCAAATTATTCCATGAACTTTAACCCTGACCTCAGTGGACCACCAGTTTGTGGCTCACATTTGGTCATGCTCCACACTGAAGTCTGCCTTCCCTGGTCCTTCAAGAAAATAATGCAGGTGAAAGACCTGTGGTACTGTGATTTTTAGGGTTTGCATTTCAAATTGGTTACCCCTGAGTTGCTTATAAGAGAAAATCTTTTCTGGAAATAATAAATAAAAGAGAGGAAATCCATATGGAATGCAACATTTTGAATAAATAGGCCACACACAATCTGATGAGGGAATGTGCATTGTGATTCCCTTTCTTATGAAATTTAAATTTAAAAAGTATAATTCTGGCCACTTAAGTTTGTTAAAAGATTCAAATCAAATTAGTAAAGAATTAAAGACACAATAGAGGACTTCTGAGGAAATTTTATAGTTGGAAGTTTCTTTTTTTGTTTATGTTTTTTTTTTATCCTTTTTATGATTTAAATGGCTTTCATATTTTGAGAAAATATTTCAGTGTATAATTTAATTTCTGGACCAGAGCTTAGATTTTGGAGTTTAAATAAAACTTGTTTTTATTAGAACACTGTTAGGAATTTGGCTTTTCTCCTCAGATTAGCATATATGGTGCTCTGTATAATTTTAAGGTATGCCTTTTTTAAATACTTTGTTTAATAATCAATGTTCCACTGACTTAGTAAAATAAATTTTGCCATGAAGTGACACCCCTAATTAATATTAATTTTTCTATTCAACCCATAATATGCATAAGCTGATAACAGGCAATAGGCAATATTTCACATTTTAATTAGACTAGAAAAGGCACAGAAGTAACATTTTGAAATATCTCAGTCTTTGGGGCACTTATAAGGTAGGAAGGAGTGAGTGTCTGTCTGTGTGTGTGTATGTGTGTATATTTGTATGTGTGTGAATGTATGTGTGTATATGTGTATGTGTGTGCATGTGTGTATGTGTATGTGTGTGGGTATGTGTTCGTATATGTGTATGTGTGTGTATGTGTGTGTGTGTATGTGTGTGTGTATATGTGTGTGTGTGTGTGCTCCTATGCTTATATTTTGGCATGTGTAATGTTTTGCTTTAATTTAGGTCAAATTCTACTATCCTAATTATTTCCTATAAAGAGCTTACATTTATCTGTTCCTCTTTATAAAGTGCCTCAGGTCTCTATCTCAGATTTTTCTAGGTCTTTCTGAAAATTCTTATTACTTAACTTTATCCTTGGATGTTGCTTTTTACATAAACGTCTCCTAATTCTAAATGTCATTACTTAACTCCAGAAATTTTCCTTAGCTTCTCTTCTGAAATAAATTTCCCATTAAATTAAACTATTTTGTTCACCTAATTCTCTCCTTTGTGATTTTATAGAATTCCCAGGATCTGAAGCAAAGTTAGAATGCTCTACTTAAATGGTAATCCCCATTCTATTTAACCCATTTATTCGTTTTGAAGAGTTTTTAGCTCTCATAATAGTAAGCACTTAATTGGCAGCAGAATGCAAGCCGCTCTTCAATTCACACTTGCCCACTCTCACCCAGCTGCTGTACCAGGCCTTTTCACTCGTCCTGCTACTTGAAACCTTCCTCTTTGCATCATCTGAATTTCCTCTCCACATCAACAGACTCTGTTATTAGGAACTGTATTATTTCTTTTTG